CTCAGCTTCCCCGAACCCATATGCTGCTGTAGTTTAGCAAACCTATACTTTTGCTCTTAATAAAGGATTCGGGAAGACCACTTCTATATTTTGTCTTTATTTGAGGAAAGGAGAACCCAACCACAGTCATCCTAGTGGACAATCATTTAAATATGAGCCAGCAGTGTGCTGCAGCTGCCAAAAAAGCCAACACAGTGCTAGGCTGCATTAACAGAGGGATAGAATCAAGATCACGTGAAGTATTAATACCACTTTACAATGCCTTGGTAAGGCCACACTTGGAATACTGCATCCAGTTTTGGTCACCGCGATGTAAAAAAGATGTTGAGACTTTAGAAAGAGTACAGAGAAGAGCAACAAAGATGATTAGGGGACTGGAGGCTAAAACATATAAGGAACGGTTGCTGGAATTGGGTATGTCTAGTTTAACAAANCAGTGTTCCAATATCTCAAGGGCTGCCACAAAGAAGAGGAAGTCAAGCTATTCTCCAAAGCGCCTGAAGGCAGGACAAGAAGCAACGGGTGGAAACTAAGCAAGGAGAGAAGCAACCTAGAACTAAGGAGAAACTTCCTGACAGTTAGAACAATTAACCAGTGGAACAACCTGCCTCCAGAAGCGGTGAATGCGTCAACACTGGAAGTTTTTAAGAAGAAACTGGACAGCCATTTGTCCGAAATGGTATAGGGTTTCCTGCCTGAGCAGGGGGTTGGACTAGATGACCTCCAAGGTCCCTTCCAACTTTATCATCATCAACATCATCATCAACATCATCATCATCATCATCATCATCATCATCATCATCATCATCATCATCATCATCATCATCATCATCATCATCATTATTATTATTATTATTATTATTATTATTATTATTATTATTATTATTATTATTATTATTATTATTATTATTATCTTCAGAAAATAGAAGGAAAATATAAGATACCTCTGCCCTTTTCCCAATAGCCTGGCACGGTGCTTGTTACAGGTACTAAATGTACTGCCTTTTTAAATGCAGTGGACACCACCCTCTTACTGGCTGAAATGTATTGGCACTTGAGCCAGAGGCAAGGACATAAGCTCTCTCGTGCTTTTTAGGTCACCTCAGTTTAAAAATATTTCATTGACATGGCAACTAATAGATGTAAAGAAGGAAGAAAGCTTTGCAGAATGTGGCGGAAGAGGTGGTATTTTTATTTACTTTATTGGGCTTGTAATTCCAGTCACCACCAACGCTGAGCAGCTCATAATGCAGAATCTTGAGGCCCATCGCCTTCTGGGTTCAACTTCCAAGAAAGAAGGTATGGGTGGATGATCTTACAGAACAGCTGAGCAATTCAATTCCACTGAACTATTATGCAGAACTAAGCAGTGAGTAATGGGCATACTTTGGAGATCAGAATAGAGCCCATGGGTTATTCTGGTATTTACAAGATGCCAAGGCACAGAATCAGTATCTTTTTATTTCAAAAAAAAAAGTTAATACATACTTGCAGCTAGACCACAGCAGAAGGGGAACTCTACTATTCTTCTCTCTAGAAAGGAAAAGCATTGTTTTAAATTTAAGCCCTGGAAAGCTGTGGGACCTAGGCAAGGAACAGAAGCCTCTGGGAAAAAGGTTGCAGACAACTATATGCAGATCCAGGATAGCTTCAGAAACTCTTTTTTCAAGCAATAAATGTTTTACTTAAGAATCTGTCCTGAGATTTTAAACTTTAATTTGACTGTAAGTGGTTATGTCTGTTTTACTGACTGTGATATTTGGATTGCACTTTCTCTCCTAGTGTTTGGGTGAGCTTAACCCTTTTAGATTTTTCTGGACAATAAGAGTTTTTCTTGATTATTAGCAAACTGGTTCTTGTGTTCTGCTCAGAATATTTAATTTTTTCCTCTGGAGGACAATATTTTCTGGAGACATTCTCTCTACTTTAGCAACTCTATAGTCCAGCATCTTTTACCACCAAAATATTTGCATGTGATTCCTTAAAGTTCCATAAGAAGTTCTATGTCTTTTTTTTTGTCTGTTTCCTTTTTAATAAGGCTTATGTTTGTGTCCTTTATCTAACTCAAACTTCCCTAATTATGCGTTTTAAAAATTACAGAGGCAAGAGTTGCTATAAAAATTGCTGTTGTAGTTTCTCCCTTATGTGCTAATGAGACCGCACCAGTGGTGGGATTCAGCCAGTTCACACCAGTTCAGCAGAACTGGTAGCTAATTTTTTGTTGCCCAGGCCCAGAATGGACTTCTGGAAGCAGCATCCACACAGAGAACCGGTTGTTCACATATTTGAATCCCACCACTGGACCTCACCCTCTCCCATTCATGCCAAGCAATTATTACCCAACTGCACCAGGCAGAAAGGCTGAGCCAAGAGGGATGTGTGAGTGCAATTTCACAGGTCTTTTGGGACAGGAGATGTAAGACTTTCAACCTTTCCCCCCTCCCCCCAGTATTAAACCCTTTGTTATCCTTGTAGTAGGAAAACATACTCATTTCAGATTTCTTGGCTTTTACTTTAAAGCTTTAGTTATTTACATGTCATTAAAAACCAAGGACAGCTATGTGTGTTTACTTTTTATTTTATAAAAGCAAATTAATAATAACAACAACAACAACAAACATCCAGATCTGCTATCCCAGGTCCTTGTAAGGACTCGATAGGGTTAGGGTTGGAGGTCTTGGAGGTCTTCTAGTCCAGCCCCCTACTCAGGCAGGAAACCCTGTACCATTTCAGACAAATGGCTGTCCAGTCTCTTCTTAAAAAATTCCAGTGTTGGAGCGTTCACAATTTCTGGAGGCAAGTTGTTCCATAGATTAATTGTTCTAACTGTCAGGAAATTTCTCCTTAGTTCTAGGTTGTTTCTCCCTCTTCTTTGTGGCAGCCCCTGAGATATTAGAACACTGCTATCATGTCACCCCTTGCCCTTCTCTTCATTAAACTAGACATTCCCAATTCCAGCAACCATTCCTTATATGCTTTAGCCTCCAGTCCCCTAATCATCTTTATTGCTCTTCTCTGTACTCTTTCTATAGAGTCTCAGCATCTTTTTTACACCGTGGTGACCAAAACTGGATGCAGTATTCCAAGTGTGGAAAAGGAATCTAGTACCTAGTATCCAGTAAAAGTAGTTGGGAGAGGATGAATTATCCCAATTATTTTGCCCACCTTTCTAAGTTTCAGTTCTTAAAACTGGAAGGGCAAAAGGAAGGAAGATAAAATTATAGCTATATTTATAAGATCTTTTGTTAAGCTACAATTTTGTATATTTGTGAAATGGAAAATCAACTTTGATAGAATTCAGTATTCTAGGATTCTTACCTTGGTGCAAGCTGGGTAGTCGAAGGCTTCAGATGATTTTTCTGAAAATATTAATTATTAGTGGTGCCTTCTAATCTGCAGGGTATTTATCAGCTGTTTCTTCTGTAATAGACTGTTGATGTTTTCTGATTTGCTGCATCATTAGATACGTATAAAGGCTAGGATAGTTTTAGAAAATTGAAATGCTATTGAGAATTTGATTTAGACTTCAGACATTATACATTCTAAAGCAATTACACACATTGCCAATATATTTTTATTCCACATTTAAGACATTAGCGATGACTTTGAACTGGCTCCATAGTTTGGCTATTTCTCTTTATTTGCCCGTCTGTTATTAAGATATTCTTTAGGGACCCTCCTTTGCATCTTACTATTGGATATTGCACATTGTGTGGAAAAGGCTTTCTTGGCTGTGGTGACTCAACTGTGGGAAACTGTTCCTCCAGCAAGCAATGTAGCACTGCCCTTACTTCATTCCTTAGTAAGGAAAACTTCTAGCTAGTCATTCAACCATTCAGTTTTCTGTAACTGCAGTTCAGTTTTTATATGTACAGTATATTGAATATGCTTTTAATGTGGTTCTATTTTAGTGCTTTGCCATTGCTTTGTATTATTTTACTGATTATATTCTACCAATACAAGGAGCAGATAAATATTTAAATAAGTAGACAGCATTTTAAAATAAGCCAGAAAATGCAACCATTTCATAGTATTTTGGTTTCTAGTTTACACAGTATTATTCACTTATAGCTCAATTATTGATTTTCTGTGAATATATAGCTTTTTATTCCTAAAAAACCTTGCTTCTTCTTGTTCCTCACTTATTTGGGGCAAGTTAAATAATCTGTGAGTCATGACAAGAGGGCTTTTAAAAATTCTCTTTAATACATAAAGTATCATTTGAAGCCTTGTGTGAGTTATCTATACTTGTTCCTTAGAATGATTTCTTTATTCTTCTTAGATATTTGTTTTAAAATAAACATAAATAAATAAGGAGGTGGAGTTTGCCCTATTCCTACTGCACCCAATTCTGTCTTACTTTAAAATGCTGGGTATTTTTCTTATTTAATTGTTTTTCAAGATTCCCTGGAATTGGCACAGCAAAAGCAGCCTATCAGCTGATCTAGTTGCTAGGCAGCTGTCTTTCACCCTTGAATCAAATATCAATCAAATGAACAATAAAGTATCTGCTGTTTAATACATGTTTAATTTATGAATATGTTGTGTCTTGGGAAATGTGGGGAGGGGAACATTGAGGCATATAAACGGTGAGCTTTCTTTACTCCAATTGCAAAAGCCACTGGCTTTTAAAATAATAGCTTCCAGCAATAAACTGTCCAAAAGGGATTCTCAGGTACCTTCCAAAAATGAGTTTGTTTTTCTAGCAAATAGCTTCTAGTCCCTTTGAAGCTCGTTGAGGGTCTTTGGCCTGCCAGCTCGTCCTTCCTTTCCTTCAGCCATTGCAATCTACGCTGTCTTAAAAGCAACCACGGGAAGTGTTCTCAGGGCAACAAGTGGGTGTGCATATTTCTTTAATGGAGGACTGTGGTCTGTTAAGTTGTTATGCATTTTTGTGACAAAAGAGCGATAGTTGTAAGCAGAGCAGTACCCTACTATTCCAGGGCAAGGCATTTAAAAAGATGATCTCCCTATCTGTCTGTCTGTCTTCCTAGGGCTGAGCGAGCAACGGCTGTGATCCTGGCAGATCCTTGTTTCCAGCTCCGTTCTATTCAGTACTTACTGGGTCACACGGAGCCTTTAGTGCTGGGAATGACATCATCTTCTGCTGACAAGAAACATTTCTCCCTGCAGAGCTGTAAGTATCTCCGGTGTATTATGCCTCCTTTCGCCAAGAACTGCTTGCTTGGATTGCTTTTTGTCTCTAGTCAGATTGATGGTTGCCTAATGTTAAAGAGGTCCTTGTAGAAAAGAGAATAATATAGCCCCTGTTCTGAAGTTTGTGAACGGTCTACAAGACCTCTTAATGTCACCTTGGTATTTTTTTCCCCTGTTCACCTGTTCTTATCCTCAAAGTGTATTTGCTTTTTGAAACTCCACAGAGGTATACAATAATTTCCTGTCCTTGCATGCCCAGGACTAACTGCAACTTCCTATTCTCTGAGAAACAAAGCCTGCCAAGGCTTTGAAGTATCAGAGCTTTATTTAAGATGAAATCTGAGCCTCTTTATAAACATTCAGAGTTATTTTTATAGCAAAACCCATGTGAGAAAAAAAATCCACGGTTAAAATGCATCCAGAACAAAATAACACAATAAAGCATATCACAAAGTCCTTATATTATTTTATTCTAAGGTTCTTTATAGTACAAACATCTTCTAATAGAGATGATTAGCAAAGCCGAGTAAAGCTGTTGAAATAGGTCATGGCACATTTGTGGTAGGAAAGCCTGGATCCAGTCCCCAGCATCTCCAATTATAAAATCAGATAAAAGTTGTTAGTGAATATTTCTTCCAGAAACTTGGAGTTGCAGTTTTCAGGACTACAAGGATGGGCCAAGCATTGCTATATGTTCTTCCTACATTTCTCTTCCATGAGAATAGTAGCCTAACATATAATAATAATAATAATAATAATAATAATAATAATAATAATAATAATAATAATAATAATAATAATAATAATAATAATAATAATAATAATAATAATAATAATAAAAAAAGTTGGAAGGGACCTTGGAGGTCATCTGGTCCAACCCCCTGCTCAGGCAGGAAACCCTATACCATTTCAGACAAATGGCTGTCCAGTCTCTTCTTAAAAACTTCCAGTGTTGGAGCATTCACCGCTTCTGGAAGCAGGTTGTTCCACTTGTTAATTGTTCTAACTGTCAGGAAGTTTCTCCTTAGTTCTAGGTTGCTTCTCTCCTTGCTTAGTTTCCACCTGTTGCTTCTTGTCCTGCCTTCAGGCGCTTTGGAAAATAGCTTGACTCCCTCTTCTTTGTGGCAGCCCCTGAGATATTGGAACACTGCTATCATGTCCCCCCTCATCCTTCTCTTCATTAGACTAGACATACCCAATTCCAGCAGCCTTTCCTTATATGCTTTAGCCTCCAGTCCCCTAACTGATATAACTGATCAGATTGAATATTCATTGGAAGCAGAGAAAAAGATTGTTTTATATTGGCTCCAATGAAAGAAGCTCTATCAGGCACCATCTCATCCTGAATTTTTGCTGTCCCAGCTATCATTATATGAACTGTGGTATAATTGTTAACTTTAAATAATAGAGCCTGAGTTCATTTTTCCTTTTTTTTGTCCATTTGAGTTTTGTAGTTGTGTTGTATCTTTTTATTGATTATATGTTATCAACCAAGGAACTCTTCAATTGATGAGCAGAGCAAATAAATACACTTATGCATTTGACACTGCTTAGGTTATAATATTAATCCCATCACACAAGATAAGATCGTGTAATGTATCCATAGAATGAAATATGGGAACAGGTTTTGTCTTAGTCTGCCTTCTCTAGTGCTGTACTTTTGAGGGACCTAAATTTAGCGCTGTAATGTTATTTTCTAAATATTGTCCAGTCTAAATATTTGGAAAAGGATATTAGCAGAGATAAATGCCAAAGGGCAAGACCACACTAACAAAGAATAAAACTTTATGTATCCACTTGGCCATAACTGGCTATCTTATCTGACCAATTAAAAGGTAATGTTTCAGCTCTTTCTTTACACACTGCACCCTTTGCAGTCTCCCCATAAGTGGATATCCTCTTACTCCTTTTGAAGACTATGCATTCTTTGAATAACTGGCATTGTAAGTAAAAAGGCTATGAGATGACAGAGACTAGAGATGACGCTGATCAGAGGCCTCACGGTGGCTCTTAGAAATGATGGATGGTTTGCTTTGGGTGTTTAAAGGTTAAGGGGAGTGAGGGACTGGCTTGACTGTGTGTGTTAGAGTGTGATTCTGTCTTGATGAGGTTACTTTGTTAAACTAGCACTCATTTCACCGAAATTGAGCTACTGTGAGTACTATCATTATGGATCAAACATTGCTGAAAAGAGGACAGTGAAAGAAAGCATTGCTTCCCTGTACCATAAAAATAGGTGGCTTCTCATAAATCAGCCCTGTTAAAAAAACATTTGTCCAGCTCTAAGAAGAGAGAAGCAGATTATTGTCCTTAGCGCCACAGAAAAGTACAAAAGTAATTGGAGCATCTGGACAGGGAAATGCTGCTCCCCAAAGAACAACTCTGTTTTAATTTCTGTGTTTTCCATAGGCTGTTAATCCTTTAGTGATCTTGAGCTGATGGGCAAAACTAGGTATGATTGGGGTGGCAGTGATGATAATCAACTAATTTTTCCCTGTAGAATCAAATACGTTTCTGTTCTGTTGAGAGAGAGAGAGAGAAAAAATATTTAGACAATATTTAGCAACATCTCTGCTTCAAACATGATCTCTGTCTTCTCCCTTGTAATAGCTCCTCTATGAACCTCAACTAATCCCAGGAAAGCTGCTCTTCTAACTGTTTGAACGAGGCAATCACAGTTGCCCTCGCCATGGGATATATAACGGGAGATGTAAGGGAGATTTTATTGTGAAATTTGGATCTTCAACCTTTCCAAAAATGAAAAATATAATGATTGTGAGTGTGTGCGCCTTCTGGAGTTACTGTTAATTAGTAACTCCAAGCACCTTGACTGGAACAGGTTGTATCTATGAAGATTCAATAGTTTTTGCGGGAACTCTAGTACTTTTCTGCTCCTTGAAGTCAAAATAAATGGGGCTTTCTTGCCTGACAACTGCAGGCTTTTATTTTTTTTGATAATTGCATGAAGATATCGCTATAGGGAAAGGAGCCAGCTGCAGAGAATACCACAGGCAGATTCTCTTCTCTTTTCTCTAATGTGCTGTAAGGTATCTCTTCATCTGTCCCTGCTAATTGTTTCATAAAATGAATCCTGATAACAGGATCAGGATCACCTCCCATCTATGAAGACTCTTCTGCAATTCGACTCTGTGGCCTGGCTGTGACTTTCCCTGTCCTGCAGCAAAGGGGATTGTGTTCTCTTTCTATTTCTGGGCTCTGTAGGAAAAGGTCCTTTCCAGCCCGTTAAAGAGTGCCCACCTCTTTAATAGCTTGATTCCCAGAATATGAGCTTGTACATCTGCCAGCACCACCACCCCTTGACAATGCTGCTGAGCTGGCCCAGACGCTAAATGCTCCAGCCTAGATTATTTGTTTGCTGACACAGTGATTATCAGATTTGTTTGTATACTTTGTTTTATAGCTTCTGGCACGTGGACTTCTTCAAAATTGCTCTATTGCTTTGTCTAATTATTCCCCTTGCCAGCTTGATCCAGTTAGAAAAGGCCCATAATTTGTTGCATCAATCCTAAAGGCTAAAGAGTGAAAGAAAGCTACCATAAAACAATAGATATTATAACAACATACAATATCCTAGTTGTAGAGACTGGGCTGGGGGAAAAGCTTATATAAGTATGCAATCCTGGAATATGCCATAGGGAACTTTTCTTGTACCTGTTCCTGAAACAGTCTTAACTTGGTTCAGATTATTCTTTTTCATCATAAATTCTGTTACTATAGCCTTGTGACATTATACATCATTTTCATGGGTGGATTAAGTGTCATCTCATTGTGTTCTGAATACAGAAAAAATAAATATTTTAAAAACTATAACATTATCAAATATTATAATGTATCTGATGATCAGAAACAATACATCCATGCATTTGTAAAATACTTTTGCATAAAATTCCCATTCACGCTGTGGCATATGAACTCTACACATTTAGTTTTCTAACACCGAATGTCAGTGGGACAGTAGTTTTGAAAGCACAGTTGTCGTTTTGAGCTCAAACTAGTCTTTTTGTGCTTACTGGGCTTGACTAATTGGAAGATGTGTTAGACTCTGCCACCCTATGGCCATCAACCTTCTCTACAAGTTCAATTTAATTGCTCCCAGCCAGTCAGAGATGGAGAAGTTTTGAAAGTTAAAAATGTACCGGTAACTGGTAACTTTTTCTTCTGTCATATTCTTAAAATCTATATACCCATTGAGTTCCTTCTTTATTTTGTTTTGCAGACACTGATTATATCAGCCAAGAAGAGCAAGCCAAGGTGGAGCAAATGCTTGGCCACCTCAGTGAAGAATCCAAGCAAGCTGCAGCTGCCACTTTGGTAAGTATTCTGATTTTCTAAATGTGTGCATGCTCTTCCCCTTGGCAGCCTGCATCCTTGGTGAACACAGAAACTCTCATGCCAGAGCTGTACAAATGCAAGAAACTGAGAGCTGTATAAGCGCAAGAAATATCAGTGAATTCGCTTTGCAGGCTAGGATGTCTCTGACTTCAAGATCTTGTTCAGAAATGTAGAACCATATGAAACTGCAGATTTTCTGTCAAGAGGTGCTTGCAAAGGTTATGTTTCCATGAGTTGGAACTGTTTCCAAACTCTCAGGAAAAACGGTAAGAGCATGGTTCCAGGTTAAAAACAAGTTTGTGCCTGGAGATTAGCAAACTGAATTTAATTTTGAGTGGGAAATAAAAAAAGTGTCAGGAGGAGGGCTTTCAATAGAATAAAAAAAACACTGCCCAGATCTAAGATATCATTTGCATCTATTGCTATGTTTGGGTGACCTCCAATGAGAAGCAGTGATCCGGCAAAGAACATGATCTCTGGCAGGGATTGGGTATACATTATTAATTTGTCTGCTTGCTCATCTTCCAGTTGCAATTTGGAGATGTACGAAGGCTGCTGCAGGTGGGGGTGGGAGAGGGAGCAGGAGGGAGGTATGTGATAGTCCGTCTCTGGGTTTCAGTAGGAGGTCATGGTTTTAGCCAAGGCCCAACTAGAGACAGGATCTGAACCTTCATTAAGAGCCTCAAGCTGACTTGGACTCCGTGCGTTCTCTGCATCACCTGAATGCAGAGATGACAGCCTACTCATAAATATTTTGATTCCAACATCTTTTGAACCCTCCCAAAATTATATGAAAAGATAGTAATTTTCATATGTTTTGTTTTAAAAAATTTACAAGAGGTGGTTTTGCATATTTTGCCATTTTTAAATCTCACTTTGTAATGTTATTAAACATTAAAATTAAAAAAAAGAAATACTAGAAAAGAAAAGTAAAACAATAAAAAATAGTGAAGAAAATCAAAACATAGAAAAATAGAAGATATATATAAAGAAATGACTTCTCCTTCGTTATAAGTATAAACAATTTCAGTAACTTATCAGATTCTCTTAAAATACAATAAATTATCTCTTCCTTCCACATCTCATCTGTTACCTATAAACAAATCCTTAAAACCCCATTGTTCAGTCCTAGTCAGCAAAAGCCATTAAGGGTTACCAGAGGTAATGATTTATCTATTCAATGTTAAAGCATTTTGCTCCATTCTGTATTAGTAAACCAAATTTAAGAGTTCTTTTCCTTTACTTGTAATCTTTAGTTCCTCTGGTTCCCTCTAGTGTCAAACCTTCAAAGTCTCATCCTATCATGATTTTTTTAAAAGAATTCAAAACAACTGTCGGGACCAGGACAGCTCCAAAGGAGGTAGCGGCGGGGTGGGGGGGCAGGAGGCTTTCCAGCAGGTGCCACCAGCCCTGCAAATGCGGTGCTGTCGCTCCACATTCCAACCCCGAAATTCCAGACTAAAGTTGGGCAGCCTTTTGAGCGCCCCTGGCAAGCTGCAAATCTGCTGTAGTCTCGGCTGCTAGTCCCTTCCATGGCTGGGTGAGGCTGGAGCGCGCGGCCTTTAGTCAGGGCTGCCGGCATAGCGGCAGGCGGGAGCACCGGGTGAGTGCCGCTTTGCAGGACGAAGCGGACAGAGGTACTTGCAAGTCCTGCCCCAGCTATGGCGAGGAGCTGCAACTGTGTGTGTCCTGGGGCCGAGGAGAAGGAACCGGAGGGGCAGGTGGCTGGGCTGCCTTCTGGCCCGCTGGATTCGGGTTTTTTTCTTTGATTGGGGGCGTATGGCCTGACCTTCGCCGAAATGCAAATCCCTCTCTAAGCAGGGATTGGGAGGCTGAAGGCCTCTTTGTGGCCATGCAGTTCTGAAATCCATGGGCTACTGCTGGGGAGGAGAATCAAAATAGGGCAAAACAAGCGTAGTCTATCATGGTTTATTGATGGCAAAGTTTTCCTATCCCTTCCTGAGCTACTAAAATCACATTGGCAAAGTCTGTACTGTCTGTACTGAACACCTGGCTGCAAACTACTCAACCGGATTTTAGCCTAGCCCCTTGTGCAATCCCAGGCTACATCCTGGAGGTAAGAGGATGTAGTAACAGGAGAGAGCTGCAAAATTGATTCCTTATTTATTCTTCTCTTTAGCAGCAATAGCTACGTTCTTTGATGACTTCGCTAGCAACCTACAAGCTGTGAACTTTCCCCCTTGGGGAAAGAATTCAGAAGTGCTAGATTTATTTTTTCTGCTAATTACAGTATACCTTGTTGGTTTTTTAAGGAGCTTATGAGAAAAAGATGTGTCTGAAAATTAAAGGATGTATGGATTGAGTTGTGAGACAGGAAAGGGAAGTACATGGACTTATGCACTTCCAGTTGCTGACAGGTGTGCCACTAATATTCTGACTTGACACCTGCATGCTCTCAGGGCCCAAAGATTATCTTTATTCTTCATAGGGCAGTATTGTGGATTAACTAAATTTTTCTGGGTACTGATTTTAAGGTGAGTATCCTGAGCTACGGAGGCCTTTGATCTTCTTCTTAAATACATAATAATAAAATAATGAGAACTAAAGGCTCAAAGGGAAGGCAGATTAGAAAGAACGAGACCTTTTGGGGACTTCAATTCCCTTCCTGTTAAAAGTTCCTTAATAAGGCTTGCTCTTCCTTCCTAACATCGATAAAGGTGATTTTTCCAGAAAATATGTGAAGAGCTGTAATTAGTGATTTAACTATGTTTTCTTTTTGGCTGTGTTTTAATTTATATATAATGTATGTTTAATCAAGGAGGGCTTGGAGAGGTAGAATATGGCCAATATGGAGGCTGTACCTTGCCCTCCAGATCTGTCTCCCCTGCAGATCTCTGGAGAGGAGGAGGGGGTGGCAAGGGAACTGTGTGAGGGAAGGCTGCCCCAATAAGCCAGCATCCTTACCACGCATGATTGGAAATGAGAATTCCCTTTCGAGAAGGGCCAGCCTCCCTTGTGCAGGACCCGGGAAGCGCTGCTCCCCTGCCGCCTCCTCTTGCTCTCCGGAGATCTGTCAAGACAGAAGTTGGACTCGGAGGAAACTGCTTCCTGCAAATATCCTCCACCTCCTGCTTTGCCGGGAGGGGGCACTGGACAGGAAAACACCAATAATGTCTGGGATTGGGAAAAGAACATCTCTTTAGCGTGCTACACACACACACACACACACACACACACACACATTCCAAGCTTGGAGACTTGTATCCACATCTGAGCTAGCAAATTGCCAATCATGCCTGGGCTTGGGGAAAAGGCCCTCTCTTTCCTCTCTGGATAAAAATCCCCAAACCTAGAATGTGGTGTGTGTGTGCGCGTGCGTGCACATGTGCTTGGCTGCTAGCAGTTTGGGGAGGCGTGGAGTTTGTGGGGCACCGAGTTGTCCCCACATCGAGTTAGCTGGTGTGACTTGATCCATTCCGACCCAGCTGTCTTGAGTGGCATTGAGCAGGCCACGCCCACCTGCTAGGCAACTGGTGGTACTCGAATATTGCCATATCCTAAAAGTGGTACAATCTCTGAAAAGGTTGAAAAGCCCTGCCCTAGTCCATTCCACAATCCATATTCTAATCACTCTTTTGCTATTTGTTCCTAAGAAAGAATTTTCTGAAATACTTAAGCATATATTTAAAATTTGTTTTGCAAAGAAATGAAAGACTCACCCGATGCTATAAAAGAGGTCATTTGAAAGGTTCCCAATAGCTGAAAAGCAGTCTTTGGATATCTTGTACTTGGGCTGTTGGTGATAACTGCTATTGAAGTTAAGTAGGTACTTGTATGTGCTTGTTTTTTCCAGCCCACTAGTGAAGAAGACTTGTGTCCAATCTGTTATGCACATCCGATCTCTGCTGTATTTAAGCCATGCGCCCACAAATCATGCAAGTGAGTAATCCCTGCAGAAGCAGACATTTCTCTCCTTTATCCTGCTAACTGGATAGCAGCCAGGCTGTGATGCTAACTGGACAGCATCACAGCTGTATACCAGAACTAATCTAGTGGTGGCCATTTGAATCCCCTTTAAACTGCTGGAGAAGACCCAAGCCCCATAATCCTCTTAAGTGGCTGCTTATCAGCCAAGATCTTGTACTCCCATGAAGTTATACAACAGAACTGGACAACTACTTCAAACTCAGGGAAGAGGGGTTTCTGACTGCGAGGATAGAATTTGAAAGCGTACAGGTAGTTGATTCCTGGGGAAAACGTAGAAGCCAGAAGGGAAGATTTGCCGTAGTGATTGGAAGTTTTCAGTATCCTTTTATTTTTGACAGTAATTGTGAGCAAAATTGTTTAGCTCTTAAGAGCAAAATATACACTGTTGCATGTCTGAACCTTTCAAGGATTATTTACCTTTGTTTGGTAACATGCATGCCACGTTTTCTGCATAATCTGAGCCAATATAATAACCCTTGCCTTTTTAGAGCCTGCATCAACCAGCACCTGATGAACAATAAGGACTGCTTCTTCTGCAAAGCCACCATCACAGGAGTGGATGACTACATTAAACCAGCCACCTCCTAGTGCCTGGACCCTGCAGGGCAGGGGCCGCATGCCTGGGCAGCTTCTCCCCACAAAAGACTCTTCCCCCCCCTCCAAGAGCATCTTGTCAAAAGTGGCTGGTGTTTTTTTTAGCACAGCTGAGTTCAGTTTTATGACACCTCTTGCAGAACACACACATCTGTATGCGTCACCCAGGCCAAATTGTATTCTTCAATCCTATTGAATTTAGGCACACTTCCTGTTGCCGTCATCGACTCAAAAATAACAGGTATTGGGCTTTCCCTATGGAATACGCGCATAGGGGCTTAACGTGGTCAGGTTCTCTACCTCAGCCTGAATCCATAGCTCTTATCCTGCATCTACCCTAGGACCTGTGTCTTGTACTGTAGCTGGGACACATCCTCTTTGATGAGGTGCTCTCCATGGTAGAGTAAAAATGGATTCTCTGCAGCCAGCATCTCTCCTGTGAGTCCAGCTACTCACTAGCCAAGTGTGTTCTGGCAGCATTTTGCTGTTTGATAATGCATGTGTAGCTAGACTTGGTTCAAATATTTGTGTGGGCATACCCTGCAGACACCATATCACCTGTAGCATCCGATGTGATAGTTCTGGAGATTGTCAGGCAATACTCTACTGTGCAGTCAAAGGCGGTGCATGTGAGTGAAAGATGGTGGCACCTATCTGCCTAAAAATTTGAATCTGTTCGAGTGTCTGGCTCCTTTCCTTTGACGGCAAGGGCAGCTAAAAAACAGACGCTAGGCCAGGCTTTGGGGGGAGGGGGAGAAGGACTTAGTGACAGAACAGAGAATAAATGCAGCCTAGACCACGAGGAGTTTGATCATGGGAAAGACCAGGTTCAATAGGACCAATATTTGGTCCCTGTGTTATATAAGTGGTTGGGAGAAATATTCACCGATTGATATTGTAGGCTACAGCAGAGGCGAACCTGATTGCACTGCTATCTTCCACCAGCAGAAAGTGCCTGTGGCACACACCCTATACTGTGTCACTAGGTTGCCCGTACAATTCAGGAGCAGACAAGGATTTTTAAAACAATTTACTGTGTGTGACTTGTATCCAGAAATGTCGGGGAGGGTAGCAAACAAGGAACTTAATTTAAGTGCATATATGATTGTCTCTCTTCCCCTCCCCCTTCCCAACTGGAAGGGGGCATTACTTCCATAAAATAAAATATTAAATTATTATTCCTTAAAGCTGTCAGATGCATATTCTCCACATTTCCAAGGTATTATTTCTGCTGTAGATTATAAGTAGGTAAGCATTGCAAAGGGCTGGCACGGTACTTGCAGGGATACTTGCAAGAGCGAGCAATTAAAGCAAGTTGATTTTAAGGAGTATCGCTCTCATCATTAGCGTGTCTTGAAGAGTAGACAACACGTGACATACCTAGAATTCATTATTAATTACAATAATTTCATTTGTTTTCATTACGATATGATTTCATTAGAGAACCTTGCCCAAAGTTCTAAAGTTGCCAGTTATTCACCATAGGGAAGGAAGCAATGCAGTTTTATAAGGCAATTAAGTTCCATAGAAGAGTACTGCATTTTGTTTGCCTTTGTGCTTCATAAACAGCAAATACCACCCTACCATGTTAGCATACAACATGCTGTTCATTCCCCTTCCCAGAACTATTGGATATTTTCATCTTCAAACAGATGAGCTGTTATACGATCCCAGATGTTGGAGCAAAGATGACTTGTCCCTGTTCAATATAAGGTACTGGACTCTACTGTAGAACAATGGTGGATCTGGCTCAGGTAGCCTATCCTAGCTCACCCCCATTCCCAATCCTGAATGATGCAACCGTAGTCTTGTCCACTCCTAGGACTCCATGTAAAGGTTAAGTCAGCAGCAAGGGGGGGAAAATAGTATTTGGAAGAAAAAAAAACTTGATGAACTCAATACAGAGTCCCTCGCCACCAAGGCACAGAGTGTGGTCGTTCCAATAAAATGTTCTGCCAGTTAGTCCAGCGCTCAATCCAAGCTTTCTACATGATGATGCGTGGCTCTGGGACCGATTCAGCAATGGATTTGTGAGGCAGCACATTGGCCCCATTGAGGTAGAGTTCGTCGTTCACAATGACATCTTCCCCCAACACAGTGACATTCTCCATCCGCACCTGAGGAAATAACGATGTGCAATTACACGGAGCTCAGCTTAGGAAAGTATATTTTAAGAGACTCAAGCTAAAGGAGCTACCTGCTTGTACAAGTCATGTGGGTATTCAGGAATTGGTTCTTAACAGTTAATTACTCTCAGCCACTTGGCGGCTAAGGAAAACAAAGTCAGGGGTAGGCAACCTTGGCTCTTTTATGACTCGGTGGACTTCAACTCCCAGAATTCCTGAGCCAGCCTTGAAGTCCACGTGTCATAAAAGAGCCAAGGTTGCCTTTATGAGCCAAGGTTGCCTACCCCTGCCCTGGGTGATACCTGAAGCTTACTAAGTTTTCCTCTAAGACAGACTCTCAGATCCCACGCAAGCCCTGCCATACAATAGTTGCAGTGGGGATGAAGAAATTATGCATAAAGCTTTGCAGAGGCTTAATGTGCTCATTTTGACCATATTTAAGGGAAAAAAATGTTTTGCTGCTGAATTTCTACAACACTGAGAGACTCTGTGGGCCTTCAAAAGTTCTAAAAGGGGAAAATTATCTAATTGTATAACACTGTCCTTTTCAGTATTTATACATAAAGGGCAATCCAACTTATTATCTAAACTGTACGGGCAGAACCCTTAGTTTTTAGCACAACTAGAGCTCACTCACCCATTGACCCACTGAGGAGCTCCACCCAACAATGCAGGATTCAAGCCAAGAGTGGGAACGGATGCGCGATCCCTTTAGCACAGTGCAACGTTTGATCCGAACACCATCCTCTACCACAACTCCTGCCCCAATTGTGACATTGGGACCAATGCTGCAGTTTGATCCAATCTTGGCACTTGGGTCCTGAAATGAAAGATCTAATGTGAAAGACAGCATTACGACCCTTCCTCGACAATTTCCCAAGTGGAGAAGTAATGTTCTTCCCTCTTCTACTCCCAGATCAGAACTACATACAGGTAGTCCTTGACTTATCTGGAGCCCAAAATTTCTGTTGTTAAGTGAGACAGTTGTTAAGTGAATTTTGCCCCATTTTGCAACCTTTCTTGCCACAGTTGTTAAGTGAATCACTGCAGGTATTAAGTTAGTAATACGGTTAAGTGAACCTGGCTCCTCCATTGACTTTGCTTGTCAAAAGGTTGCATAAGATGATCACATGACCCTGGGACACTGCAATCATCATAAATCTGACCCAGTTGCCAACGGTCCCAATTCTGATCCTGTGATCGTGAGATGCTGCAATGGCTGTAAATGTGAAAAATGGTCATAAGTCACCTTTTTCTGTGCTGTTGTAATTTCAAATGGTCACTGAATGAATGGCTGTAAGTGGAGGACTACCTGTACTTGGTAAACATTTGCTTATGCTGTTGTCCTGCTTCAGCTAGACTGATCCCTACAGAAATGCTATTCCATCTGATGGTTTCCCTACCCACAGAAAATGATTTTGTCTTTAAATGGGATTACCACTAGTACGTTTCCCATACAGCCCAATCCAGAATGCAAGCGCTCAGGCTGCTTCAGCCGCAAATATTGTAGGTATAGGCACATGCCAGTCAGGAAATCTTTTGGCTGCCCAATGTCCATCCAGAACCCTGCAGTGATAGAAGGTGTATGAATCAGGTAATCTGTAACAGAGTTTCATTGGGATCATAGCTACAAGGGGCTCTTTGTCTGGAAGCAGAGAAAGCATTAATGCTTCTGGGCTGGGGTTCCCAGTCTTGGCAATTTTATGTGTTATTTTGTAATATATGTAACATTCCTTTGCTTTAAAATAACAGTGGGCAATCTTTTAGGAGAAAGCCAGTTTGGTGTTCTAGTTAAAGCATGCTGGAAATCAGGAGACCAAGTTCTAATTTCTCTTTAGGCATGAGGCCAATTAAATAATCCTGAGCCAGTCACTCTCAGCCCTAAGGAGACAATGGCAAAGATTTTTGAAATCTTTCCAGGCAGATTACAAGGACTCATTCAAGTAGTCACCAGGAATCAACAAGGACTCAAAGGGACCATTGACGCCCTCCCCAAATCTTTTTAGCAGCCAAGAGCTGACCTAAACATTTTTTGGCTGGCTGAGGGCCAAAAGTGAGTATACCTTCATCATACCAAAAGACGAGGCTGCCTGTGATTCTAGGGCTGCAGGTTGCCCTGTTCTAAAAGTAGCATCAGAAAAATTCACTTTCCAAATGTTTAAATTCATATTCCATCCTAATGGTATTAAATGGTATTTAAAATGTCCTTTCATAAACCTCAAGATTGATTAGCTGTTTCTTCTAGAAAAAAGCTGCATTTACTTAGGCCAGGGATTCCCAATCTTGGCAACTTTTAAGACGTATGGACTTCAACTCTCAGAATTTGATAACCAGCCACAGTTGAAGTCCATACGTCTTAAAGTTGCCATGATTGGGAACCCCTGACTTAGGCTAACAAAACAAACTTTTGTTTTGAGAACACGTATTATTGTACAATTCTGAATCCTAGTCCAAAGGTTCTAAAGCTTTTCCCTTACCATGCAGTTCCATGGCATAGAGTTGTCCTTCCTCTGCCATTACAGGAAATATTTCTTTCTCAATTGAGGTTGGCCGCAGCTAAGGAAAAGATAAAGGGGCTCAGATGGCCATTCCAATAGGAGCTATATAAGCCTCACACATTTATTTAATAAATTTATATGGTCACTCATCTCAAAAAGTGACTCTGGGCAGAATACAACATAAAAAGTATAAAAATTATTAAAAACATACAAAGTCATTATTAGAATATGAATAGAGGCCTAAGAGGATGAATTATTAGCCACAGTAATGTCACCAGTCTCCTGGGACTCCCAGACCTGATGACGCAGCTGGATCTCGAGCGACTTCCAGAACATTAATAGGGATATAATTAACCTCATTTTGGGGGTGGAGGGTGGGAACGTTCCATAAAGCATGCAGAGAAGGCCCACCTCTGGGACCCACCGCGTGTCTTCTCTGCCAGACCTAATGGGATGGGCTGATGTAACTAGGGATAGGTAGCCTCTTGGATAACCCAGTCCCATGCCACGAAGGACTCTGAAGATTAAAACCAGCACCTTAAATTGGACCTGGAAGCCAATACAGCTTGCAGAGCTGAATTATGACATCTGCTGTTTTAAAAGCACACATAACTGCCTGTGCCACATCATTCTGGATATGTTTCAAGGGCAGCCCCATACAGAGTGCATTACAAGTAGTCCGATCTGGAGGTGACCAGGCCTTGAGCGACTGTGAACATCACAAATATTTACACAATAAACTAATATTCTTTAGACTTGTTCTTCAGATCATTCCCATCAGAAACAATAGCTAATTGAACCAAGATATCCTCACTGATCTATTGGGAGAAAAGCCATTTCAGAATCTGCACATCCTGATAATCAAGTATACTACTCCCACAGTCCAATGAGTCTAGAATCATCTAAAAATGGCTTTGATCTCACTAATCAGAAAGAAACATCTAGTGGAAATTAGCTTGTTGAAACCTCCATTTTACCCTTTTTGTTTCATACCTGAATGCGCTTTAGTACGCTTGGATTTAAGATGTACATGCCAGCATTGATTTTATTGGAAACAAAAACCTGAGGTTTCTCCACAAAACGATGTATGACTCCAGTATCTGCCTCACACACTACTACACCATATTTGGAGGGTTCTTCCACTTTTGTGACCTGGGAGGCAAAGTCAACATTAGATGCAGTCATAGTAGTGAATCATAAATCAGAAAAAGCACCTATCACATCTTAATATAAAATGATATGCCTATTTTACTATTTTTTTCTGACCCCATTTCAAAGTCTTAAAAAAGGATACTTAATTGCTTGTTAGCCCCTTACAAAAATCTTAAGATATGGCTTGCTTAGCCAATATTTATTGAATAAACAATGTGTTGCTGAGTTCACATGACCAGCCAATCATAAACTATCCAGAATGGCTGGATTCATGTAACAGCCTAAATCAAAGATAAGCCACATTACTTTAAATATCTTTAGTTTTATATTCCACCTATCATTCGGCTTGTGTCGTATGATGTCAGGTTTAGCAGTTTTTTAAAAAATAAATATTCTCCAACCTATGTTAACGAAGAGAGGACTGTATAGCATTGGGTTTGTATTTATATTT